TGTGTGTGTGTGTGTGTGTGTGTGTGTGTGTGTGTGTGTGTGTGTTTCTCCTGGCCCTCGACGATCTGCTGGCTCCAGCACTGCTCAGCAGTGCAAACACTTGCTAAGGCTCAGTTGGGCAGTTTTTCACCAGTTTTTGTTTCCAATTCCCATTCTCCACTGCCCACTGTGTAGTAGCATGTGTTGAATCACCTGTTGAAGGAGCACCAGCAGCAGCAGCAGCAGCAGTAACAACAGCGAATCCTGGCCAGCAGCACCTGAAGAACATATCCTCAGCTGACAAGCGTCGCTTTCTGTCGCCAGCACCACCGCAATCACTGCTATCGTTTGACGTTGAAAGCTACTCGCCACTTGCTGCTGCCGAACAAGCAACAGTGAGTCTGCCAGAATCCAAATCACAAAAGGTTGGCTTTCACTTAAATCTCATCGCCATAACTGATTTGTGTTTGTGCTTCCTTTTTCTTTCCTTCCTTTTTATTGCAGTACAGTGATGATTTGACGTTACTCGACTGCAGCTTATCAGCACCCAGCTGGACGGACTCTGAGAGCAACATGTCTTTGGTGGAGAACAACAAGGCAAACAGGTATGTGCGGAGCTGTGTCCTCTCAACACGATAATTGGCTTCATTAGACTTACACATATCCACGTTTGTCTACCCGACGGCGAGCGTAGTCAGATGGAGGAGCACTTTGAGTTCACTCCATCGCCTGAACATGCTCTGAAGAAGCACGACGACGATGCGGATGAGGACTTTAGCTACGCCAATGGTGACAATTCATACAGCTCCCTCAAGTCAGCCACCTTCTCCAGTCAGCGCAACACTTGGATGAGATCAAGCGTCAGGAGAAATGGGTAAGTTCCGTGTGAGAGAGTACTACCAGTGGACTGCTGCCAATGCGACGTTGAAATTCTTCTTCTATCCTGTCGTCACATTACAAACTCGCCCCGAATTCAGTGGCAGTTTAAAGCGCAATTCCAGCATTGGTCCATACGCCAGGTAAGTGTACTCTTCATCTTCATCTCTGACATTTTCTATTGTTCAGCCTCTCTCTAACACGCTTCATTATTCATTTTCCACCATTTCCTACCATTGTTTAGTTCGCCGAACTACCGAAATAGCCCTACTAACGATGCTACTTCCCCTAGTCGTCGAAGCTCTCTGAGCTACGAATCTGATGAAATGAACGCCGATGCAAACTTGGAAGAAGACGTCCAGAACCTCAACGACCAAGTGAGTGCACAGCTTCATCTGCAGGCAGGTGATCACCATCGTTTCATCGCTTCATCCTTTCTCATTCAGATTAAGAAGCTTCAAGAGCAGATTGAAGTTCTCTCTGAAGCGCAGATGAAGAATGAAGTCAAGTACAGCAGCATGAAGAGGGAGAACGTCAACCTAGGCGACAAGTAAGTGTGCCCAGTGCTCCCCATTGCAGCCGATCGATTTGTTCAGTTTTCTTTTCGCTGCCGTAATGTAGTTATAATGTGTGCATAATAGCGCCAAGCCTTTCAGTGGCTGGTGGCGGTGGTGGTGGTGGTGGCCACTGCTACTGCCACCGCCAGTGCTTGGCCATTAGTTTTTGTCGTTGGCCGAATTGTGAAATGACCAAGTGGCAGTCAGCATATGCGCTTTCTAATATTGCCAGGCGCTGCACAGTTTAGTGTAGAAGTGGCAGCGGCAGCACCACCACCACCACCTCCATCATCACTAGTAGCAACAGTGGCCGCCTGTTGCCAGTGGCAGTCAGACGTTGGCCGAACTGCTTGTGCGTCTTTGAGTGCTCAGCTCACCTATGTCATAGCGCTGGCATACCTGTCCGCTCTGTCAGCAGGCAGCACACTTGTCTTGCGCCGCCATATGATCAGCAGCCCTGACGGCAGGCGCCGTCGATTGGTGTTTGTGTGGCAATCTTTTTTCTGAGAGTGTCCACTGACGTTGCTGCTACCACTACTGCTGCCGCAGTTGCTGCATGGCTGCCTGTTGTCGTGTAACGGTGATCTGAGACTGCTGGCGCTTCAGGTTTCTGCGACCATGTCTGCAAACTTGACTCCATCATCATCATCATCCCCACCATCACCACCATTACCATCACTCTCACTCTCAGCACATCCACTCATACCCTTCTTTTCACTTTCATTTCACCCCCAGAATCAGCTTCCTCGAAGAGCACATTCGTGACATTGAACTGCAGACTGAAGAGCGGAAGACTGACGACGAGCGCCGCTTCAAAGAGTCAATGGCGCGACTGGAGCGAGAAAAGTCACAGGAGCTGGAAAAGTATGTTGGCCAGATTCTCGCTCTGCAGAAGGAGCTTTTTGAGGCAAAGGAAGAAGTGAAGCGCCATCAGCAGACGATTGACACTTTGCAGAGCAACAAACTAGACCTGGAAAGCACCATTCAGGATAAGGAGGCAGAAATTGAGTCGCTCAACGAGGAGATCGCCAAACTGAAGGATGTCATTCGGAAGCAAAGTGAGGAAAGTCATGCCAACTCGACCCTCATCGAGGCCCTCAACCACGAAGTGGCCACTATTAGACAGTCGAGCGATCTAACCAAGCTGGAACACCACCGAATGGCGCACGAGAGTGAGGTGAACAACATTAATGTTGAGCTTGAGAAGCAAGTTCGCTCTCTGAAGGAGGAGAACCACTCTCTAAAGGAGTCCAACGAAGAGTTGACCGCGCAGCTCCTCAACAATCACCTCATTGAGGGAAAAAGTCTGTTGAAGGAGGGCGAGGCAATCAGCTCGCTGGCAAATGAAATCAGTGATCTCAACATCGAACAGGTAAGTCAAATGATTTTCAACCACAAAAACTTGTGCCTCACGCAACATCTAATCTGTGTTATTTTCCTTTTGCAGCTCAAAACGACACTTAAAGAGCAGCAAGATGTTAATGCGAAGCTTCGCGCTTACATTGACGGCATTCTGCTCAACATTGTGGAGAACTACCCACAGTTGCTGGAAGTAAAGTCCAACTGAACAACAACAGTGCCGTCTTGTGATATAATAGCAGGCTGGACTTTGTTTTTACTTCTTTGTTTTTATACTCGCCCTTCACTCCACGTCCGCCGCCACTTACACTTATCACCGACAACTTCCTTCCACTTGACGTCCCAACTTGTGATCTTGACTTTCCGTCCCCTTTTCACCTCATCGCCTATATCATCATCAAGCTTGCAAGTCCCCGATTTGATAATATAACGAACGCTTTATTTATTTACTTCTATCTATGAATTTGTTTGTCGCTGCCCCCACTTGTTGTTGGGACTTGGTTCCTACTTTGTACAAATGTCACGCCACATCATCATTGCCATTCATGCCTTTGAAACTGTCCATGCCATCATGTCTCTTGATAATAAAAATGTCCAATTTTGATGCACTATACTTTTTCATGATTTCAAATTTCAATTTACTTATCGAACAAGACCACTAGATGGCACATTGATGCTAGAAGCGTGGACTCACCGGCGTTGAACACAAACACAAACAAGATCCACGCGGTTTATTTTTCTCCGATTTACGAAGTTGTTTACGTTTGTTTCATAGAAATAGTTTTCCTTTTCACAAGTGTTACTGTGATAAAAATGCATTCCTCAGAGAAATGTTCATCAAATATTGACTTGTTTTACGCCCGAAACCCGTCCAGTGACTCTGATCAGCTGCAGCAGGAAACTCAAAATGAAGAACCTGATTTCGAAGCCATAGTTGCTGCTTTAGATGAAAATGTGGAAAAACTAAAGCAAAACATTTCTATGGTGATTGAAAAGAAAGCTTCACATGGGATTTGGGAACCTACTTTGAAGCGAGTAAAAGTAGTCGAAAACAAAGGCTTAAAGCAGTATTTACCTCACAGTATGAACGGTCAATTTTATTTGCATCCATTTGAAGCGCTGTTTGCACTGGAATGCCGAGTTTTGGCAATTCGCTATCACGACGTGCCATTGAGCATTGAAGATGGATACTCAATTCTGCTGAGTGACAAAAACGAGGCCAAGCTCTACCAGGTATTTTCCACCTTATCAAAAAGTGGCTATTTTGTGAAGAAGCAGGACAAAACTGAGAAAGAAAAGAATAATTCTACAGCCTTTAGTGAGCCCATGAACTTCAACAAACATTTAATGGACGATGACAGTCATAATACAGCGAAAAAATTAAAAGCAGATGAAGAGAGCAATCAGAGCGGCCAAAGAAAAGACAATGTGAACTACAAAGCGGTGACTAGCGTTCGGCCACTGGCGGTTTATCACTTGAGGAATTTCTCCAAAATTGACCAGAAAATGCAAACATGTTTCCAGCTGGACGGTGAGGCTCCGAAATCAGTGTTGTACTGCATTCGCAACTCTGCAGTGCCCGTAGAGATGAACCGACGGCTGAAACACCTGCATGACGATGATCATCTCCGACCACTGGTTGAACTGTCGGCAGTTCACACGTCCGAACATCTCTTTGCTCAGTTACAACAAGCCGGTTNCATTCGCAACTCTGCAGTGCCCGTAGAGATGAACCGACGGCTGAAACACCTGCATGACGATGATCATCTCCGACCACTGGTTGAACTGTCGGCAGTTCACACGTCCGAACATCTCTTTGCTCAGTTACAACAAGCCGGTTCTAAGAGCAGCAGCAGCAGCAGCACTGTCCCTGATGAACATCTGGTCAGCCACGATAAAGAGCTGTCGGTTGATTTTGAAGTGTTTCCCCCGAAAACGAGCTTAAAGTCTTCAAGACGTGATTTACCCCTGTTCCGGGTAGTGACTATCGTCAACGAAAATGATCCACTGCCGCCAGTGTCGGTGATGCGGCGATTGCAGCGTCATCACCACCACCAGTCTGCAGCTACGATCAAGTCCAGTCCACTGCTGTTTGCGCTCATCACTGACTCGCTGGAATTTAACTTTTACGCCTTGGAGAGCTTGCCCATCCACAATGAGTACCCGACGCTGTGGGAGAAGTATTATGCTGGTTCTGATCAGTAGTAGTGACCTGCCGAGGCCTGATTTAGGCTCGGGTAGTCACTGTAGCCGCTGAGGCGATGAACGTCCATGTTTTCGGTGTACTTGGTGGCCAAGCCATCGACTATGGTCACCGCCTGCGGAATGCTGTACCACTCTTCTGAGTTTGGCGTTGAGTAAAGTTGAGTCGCGGTGCTCGTCAGCTGTGCAAATGGTGTCGTCAATGGGTACCCGTTTCCGTCCGTGAAAAGTTCAGCCTGACTGTAGCCATAGCTGTAGTTGTCGGAGGCGTCGTAGGAGGCGGTGGCGGCGGAAGGTGGTGGCAGTAGTGCCAGGCCACCGTAGTCTCTGCTGAACGCTGGGTGGCAGCTGTACGCAGCTGGCTCTGCAGTGGACTGGACTGCCTGACTGATGGCGGGACTTCCGTGGTGGTGGTGTGCCAAGTGGAAGGCGGCCGACTGTACCCGGCTGTGCACACTGCCAATCTGCTCGAGCTGGGTCGGGTGCTGCTGTGGAGTGCAACTTTCATAGGAGTGCATTGGGAAGGAGTGCTTCACAAGTTGGCCGGAAAAGTGGTCCGCCGCATCGACCACTTCTTCAGCTCGGACGCCACTGAAGAGCTCTTCCAGCGGACCCAAACCTAATGAAGGGTTGTACTTTCCGGTGCAGCTCCATTGCAGTCCACTGGAGGACTCTAATTTACTACGATTTGAATGGTAGTGGTGGACAGCTGTTGCACTGCCACTCTTTAGATTGGAGGAACTGCTGCTGCTGTTGTTGTTGTTGCCACCCGCGCTGCCATTGGTTAGTGCCGATGAGCAGGTGAGCAGATCCATGCTGGGCGTCTCATTCTCCGTGGCGTACAGCTCCTTCTCGATGGCTGTCTCATTCAGTGCCGATTCGTAGGTGGGCAGTTTGCACTGCAGACGCTTTAGATACTGAAGAATTGGCCCTCCATAGAACTCGGTGGTGCTGGTGTTTGGTGGATGTGGGGATGGAGGTGATGGTGGTGGTAATGGAGTTGGTGAGGAGGACAGTGGTGGTGGTGAACTTTGGCTGACATAAATCTGTGCCATGTTGAGTGTCTGACTGTCTGACTAGAAGTGCCTTCGACGTCTGTTTGGAGTGCTTCATCGTCACCGTTTGAGGATGTCTTCTTGGGCTAAGTGTGAGTGTGATAATTGGCGACAATTATCGTGTTTACACTCCTCACCACTTGAGCAGTCGACCTAATCCCTCTCGTCTAAACCAGTGCACAGTAGCTCTTCTCCCCAGGACTACTGGGCATTATGATTGGCTATTGCCAGTGGCAGTGACAGCGCACAGAGGCGACGTAGGTAAATGCTGGCAAACCTCGACATCGATAATCTCTTTCCCATTCGATTGCATTAGACATTGTACTGGTGGGCCATCATCGCATTACTAATGCGCTAACAATTGAGACGGAGACGGCACCATCATCAGTCTGCATTCTCAGATGCGTACTCTGACGTTCTCTCAACTCAGTGCTCAACTCAATAAGAGTCCTTTATTGTTTAGAGTTTTCATCATAAAGTGTTAATGGCGTTTACAGATTAAGTGGACGCTACAGAAGTGTCGAGTTTGATTGGCTGGTGTGATCTGCCACCGTTTTAGGTGGCTGTGTGCTTCCCTCTCCTCCTCCTCCTCTTCCTCCCCCTGACAGACAATCATCTCGTGAGCCAATGTAGCTCTCAGCTCTCAGAGATTGAGGTTATCAGTGGAGGACAGTAACAGGTAACGGACGTGTGGATTCCAAATGATCAAGTGGCTTTAGAGTAGAAGAGAAAGTGAGTGACTGGCCAAAATGGCTATGGTTCTCAGCTACTGTACAGTGAGTGCATTGGAAGTAGTGCAGCCAGTGAAGGGTGCACTGAGCGTCTGCACGTACACGGACACTGCCGCCAGTGCCATCGAGGTTTTATGTAGACTGCAGCCGTCGGCCAGAATTCGCTCCCTTCGTTTCGGTCGACTTTGAGCGAGCATACGGGCGAGTTGGTGCAGGTTCACCGGAAAGCAGCCAGCTCCCGGCTGACTTCGTTGCCAGCTTCGAATGACCTCAAGCCAGCGGAGTCGCTCTCGAAATGGCCTGTAGCCGCTCAGACCGCAGAAAGCAATGTTCTGCATGAAGAGGTCCTGGTCTTCGCTGGGGTAGTTTCTCGCTTCCACTCTCAAATTGACGCGGAACATTGAGCTGCAGAGGGCGGTGATCTTGGCGTCCACAGTGGCCGCCACTGGTGGTGGCAATTTCGAGAGACAGTCCATCGACCGGACTATGGTCAGGTAGAAGACCTGGTGGGCCAGTGGGTACTCATCAAACTCCACCGCAGTGAACAGTGTCCAGCAGAAGGCGCTAACGTGACAGCCGTTCAGCAGTTCGGAGAGACAGGCGTCAGAGACCCTTTCGTTGAGGGTGTAATTGCCTGCTGAAGAGGGCTGATGTTGATGCGGATGCTGATGGCGCTCACCAAGTGGAAAATCTTTTGAATGACAAATCAGCTTGGACCAGATGCTGCCGCTTAGAATTCGACCAATTTCTAGACCGTTTGAGATAAACTCGTTAATTTGACTTTTTTCAGTTCTCAATCTGAACGACTTACCGCAGAAGTACTGTGGGTCTTGTCGCCAGGCGTAGGGCATTGCTGTGCTCACCTGAACTGCTCTCTGGTGCACCTCACTTAGCTTTCGCTTGACAAACAGCACTTGAGAGGTATTGTGATCCGCGCTGTGTCCGGTGTTCGCATCAATCAGTTCAAGCAATGATTTACTTTGCTCTCTGGCTATGACGACGCCTAGTAGGCCATCCAAAGTGAGACGATCAGCTACGTTGCTGAGAAAGGATAATGCTTTGGAAAGTGAGTCGCAAGCTTGCCGAAGAAGAATAAGGTGATCAGCTGAAGTGTCAGCACTGCTTGGTTCACTATAGCTGAGCAATGCAACCAAAAGCAGTGACACTAACTTGATCGCCATAATAACGGCGACCATCTTTCTTCTATAGCAATTTGAAAAGCAGATTCTTCATCTTTTGGTATTCTTTATATACCACAAAATGACCACAGAACTTTATGCATAAGTAGTTTTTGATTAAGTTTGCCCAGAATTTAATTACAAAGACAGGAAATTACAACTGTGTGCTATTTTCGATTTATCATTTCCTGTGCCAGCTAGATAGTAATCGCCTAATTTATCCACATTCCTACAGTATCACAAGTCCGATCGATATCCTGCATATATTCGATAAGGCAGAGAAAGTCGACCGCAAAGTCTGAAACAAATCTGCCTTGTCAAAGAGAAACAGTCGATAATTGAGAATGAATCGGTAATTAGAGAAGACTGTGTCGGACTGTGAGCAGTGATTAGCTGGCAGAGTGATTCACTGTTAGATTTGTAATTGCTGACACTGAGCTTGCTACAGCTCGATCGAGCGACTTTACGCGTAAGACAGAAGCCACTGCTAAACTAGAGCCCATCGAGACCGTTAAACTCCGGCGTCAGTTGAACTTTGGTACTTCTCATGATAATGCAGTAATTGGTAATGCAGTCCCTTGTCTAGCTATCATTTAGGGGATGACACCGAGAGCACTGTCGCTTTCCGTGACTTTCTCTACCCCCGTTTATGTGTTCTGCAGCGGATTGTGTGTGTGTGTGGATTGAGTGGATCGTTTCCACAGACTGGGCCACTTGAAAGCGTTCACCTGTGTCATTCACCCATCTTCACTCGGTTCATGTCTCTTCAGAGCTCACTCGTTCTCTTCCTCTATTTGTTTTTTCTGTTCCGTACACAGAGCGGCTTCCAGGTGAGAGAGGTACCTTTTGGTTGGGTACCTGTTTTTGCGCTCACTACTTCGCTGGTTGTCAGGCAACGGGTCATTCTATATTTTCCCTGGAACGCACACACACACCTACGTCAGTGCAGGTGTACAGACAACAACGGGGTTGCGGTGCGATTTCCAGCAGCGAGGAGAGAACAAGAGGGTGCTTACTTGCTGTGTGAGGGACTGTTTTCGATTTGTCGAGTGAAATGCCTATCGCAGACAAAACCTGGGACACTTTTCGACTGACGGTGCTGCAGAGCTGGTGGTGGTAGTTGTGTGGTGGTCGTAGTGAGAAAGAGAGAAAGTGAGAAAGTGAGATAGTCCAATAGAATGTCACAGATTGCCTCGCTGCCGTCGAATGTGAGCAGCCTCTTTGCAGCCACCACCACCACCAACTCCATTGTGAACTTTGCTTCAGAGAAGAAGGAGCTGCCGAGGTAAGTGAAATGCTGAACTGTTTGCTGATCAGTGCTTTTAACTACAAAATCTTTTTCGTTAGATGGTTGCTGGAGTTTGACGGCTTCACCACCCGAGAAGACAGTGACCGATCGAAGGCTGCAAAGACTGATCAGCACAGTAGTAGCAAGCAACAGCAGCCCACGAGGCCGCTCACCGAGAGTCACCTGCACAATCGACCGAAATGGTTTGAGGAGCTCACTGGTCGACGGAGACTGAGTGACATTGCTGCCGGTATGGACACCGACGAGACCGAGCACTTCAGCAGTGAGGCGCTCTTTCTCAATCAGGAGCCAGTAGCCGCCAAAACCAGCAACAACATTTCACTGATTGACTTGCCCACCGCCCAACCAGCCGTCGACCTAGAGTCCAAGTTGCCCACTGAGCGAAAATACTCCTCCTCCGAATGGCTTTTTCTGGGAGATAGTGGACCGTCGAGCTACTCAACTGCAAAGAACGCCTCAGGAAACAGCTCCAGAGATGGCTCTCTAGTTCACTCCCCCTTGACCCATCTAAACAGCAGCAGTACCTACCAGCGCGAGGAAGAGGACATCTTCTCGCTGTCCAACTCCACCTCGACTCGATCAATTGAGAAGTCACTGCGCATCAGCAGCGAGCAGCCACCCGAGGAGTGCATCATTCCGGAAATGCCACGAGGCAGCGAGCTGACGCTCACCTTGCTCGCCAACTGGGGCGATGACTCATTCATTGGCCTGAACGGAATTGAAATCTTTGACCCACTCGGAAAGCGGCCAGTCGTCAAGAATGTATGCGTGTTTTCTTCCCTTTCTGATTTGTTCTACTACATTTGTTCCATGTTCTTTGCGACAGATTTACCTCGTAGACAGTGCCGAGAAACGGCACCAACTAGCGGACCTGCGCAAGCTGGTGGACAGCGTCGTCCGGACACATGATGACAATCACATTTGGCAGTTCAGACTGGGCCGTCGAGAGCAGACGCTGCCGCTGAGCATTGTCATTCAGCTGGCAGAACCGGTGACGATAGCGCTGCTGCGCATTTGGAACTACAACAAGTCGAGGATTCACTCCTACCGAGGCATCAAGTTTGTGCAGATTAAACTGCAGAGTCAGCTGATTTTTAGCGGAGAAATCGCCAAAGCCTCCGGCGAGCTCTGTGGATCGGTGGAGAATTTCGGTGATGTTAGTTGGTGATGCCTTATCTACGCCTTGTCTTTCTTTAATTCATGCGTTTTTCTTTTCGGTACAGACGATTCTCTTCACCACAAATGAGGCCATTCTGGAGAAGATCTCCCACTTTGACACCTCATTCCAGGAGCTGCTAATGGAGCAGTTTCAGCAAGTGCCACTCAAGTTCTGAGCTGCGCCGAAAGACTATTCTCACCGTCAATGTCATGGCTTGTTTTGTTATTGTATTTTCCGGTTGCGGAAGAAAACAAACGAACGACCTCTCAATCTCGATCTCAGCAGCGTTTCCCATGAATCGAATCACAAATAATAAAAGCATTTTGCCCAAGCAGTGTTAAAATAATGCAAAGACGTCAGCTGGGCGGTAAATTGTTCTGTTATTGATCGGCGGGGCTAACTTTAGACAGGGGTTGCGTGTCGAATGGTCATTAGGACGGGGGTAAACTTTTGTCAGCTTCACCCGTTGCCTGGTAACGGCAGAAAGGCTTAGGTGATGCCGACATCTTGTTGTAAAATTGAAAAAGTTTAATCAGCTAGAAATGATATTTATTTCAGCTTGAAAGATACTTAATCACGGCTACAATGCGAATAATAATAATTTGACTTCACTTTGACGTACGGCTACAATTAAGCGTAAAAGTTTTAGATGCGCCCCGGGAAGATACCCTTCGCTCGCTGTTCATTCCATTTCTCAATCTGTAAAGAGTTTGAGAGCGAAATTAGAAACTGTAGAGGTGATGTTGTTGTTAGCGTTGAGTACTTACCCAACCAGGAGGGCACAATTCAGTGTAAGCATATTTGTACCAAGTGCAAGGCTGGTAGTCTTCGCCTTTCACCTTCTGGCATCGGAAAAAGTCCAGATAGTTCTGGTAGCAGTTCCTGGTTAAAGTTAGAGCGTGATTAGAGATGATAAACGGTAACAAAACAACTCACTTGGTCTGGTTGGTGGTGGGAAAGCGAGGATCGTAGGGCACAGTCATGCCGCGTTCTTTGAGCAGGTCGGGATTCTTCGGCTTCAGGGTTATCACTCCATCCTTACCGGGAACCTCAATGAGCTCGACGGTGTTCATCGTGCGGAATTATCTGCGAAGATAAGCGACCAAAGAGGGACCAGAACTTTTGATGATACAAAAAGCAGGCTGCTTTTATTTTGTTTGAGGTCATAGAAAACTAGCGTCTGTGCATTTTACGTCAGCGTCAGTGCGGTGAAAATAGCTCGACTATTTCGAATAAACCAAAAAATATGTGAAAATTATTTCAAAATAACGGAACACAAGGACACTTTTTTGGAGACAGCATACAATTTTATTTCCTATGAAAAGCTTTGAAAAGTCGAGGCATATCGCAGGTGATGCAACGTCGAATGTAATGACCACCGGCCACTTCACCATCAGGTAAACCAAAGAGATCCCAAAAGGAGAAGTGAGGCACCTTCTTCGTCGGCCCTCGGTAGGGCGTCCACGGGGTGACATATTCACCTGAATCGCCAACTATGGGCTCTACTAGGAGGCACAGTACCATCAGGCAAAGTGTGAACATCTGTTTGGAAAAAGTACATTATTACGCTTAGTGACCTTCACTTTCAATCGTGATCTTCCTCTTGCCTTTGGTGAAATGGCGATCATGTTTTTGGGCTGAATGAATACGAGAAAAGCGCAATGAAGCCAAGTAAAGCGAACGATTGATGAAAAGTGACTCCTGTCCGACTCTGGCTGACTGGTTCGCGTGAATGTCTCCACAAGAAGCAGTGGTCAGTCAGATGAGGACAGGTTCATCGCAAGCTCATCGCCAAAAAGTAGGCCAAACTGAGTGCAACTAGTTTTGCTTTATTTATAGAAATATAATATATTTACAAAAGGTGCTTTCATTTTCTATTCAACAGGTATGTTTGTGGTCTGAGGCGAGAGAGGATGCTCGGTGAAGTGTGTGTGTGAGAGTGAGAGAAAGAGAGTTTGCATGTGTGTGTGGTAGTGTGTTTGTCGCCAGACAACAGGTCACCAGGCACCTGACCACCGGACGTTGAAGAAGCATTGAACAGGTACGTTGCGGTTGTATGGCGCCGGGCGAATACTTGCGAATAAATATTTGGCTTGACGGATTGAAAATGTTCGTAATCTCCTTCTGGTGAGGCTACTTCACCACTAGCCCATCAGATTTCCAAGTCCACCAAGGCCACCCAGGTCTCCCATTCCGCCGCCCAGCCCACCAAGATCACCCATTCCGCCACCGCCGCCCATGCCAAAGTCATCGCCGCCTCCCTGACCGAACCCTCCGAGTCCTCCTTGGTTGCCGCCGAAGCCTCCCTGTTGACCGCCGAGGTTGCCGAGGCCGCCGAGTAGTTGGTTTCCACCGCCGCCTCCACCACCGCCTCCAAGCAGCTGTCCAAGACCGCCGCCTCCGAGCAGCTGGCCCAGACCACCGCCTCCTTGTTGACCACCGCCGAGAAGATTCATCAGTCCGCCGCCACCGCCGCCGTTTCCACCGCCCTGGCCCATGCCCAGGCCCCCGAACATGTCATTGCCTTGCTGGGCACTGGAGAGAACGCCAAAAAGAAGCACCGCCAGAAGCGACGAAGTTGCGAGGTTTTGCATCGTAGAAAACAAGTTCGACAAAGTCGAAGCGCACTGAAACACAAGAGGAGAAAAAGCACAAAAAAAATCTGCTGTTGAGAAGTGACGGGGTGACAGTATCAAAGTTGGATGAAAGTGAAACTGACACTGAACTGACACCAGGCAGCTAAATTTAAATGCTCTTTTACTGGTCAGCGCCTGCTGAGACAGGAGAGATAGAGAAAAGGCGCAAATGTAATCGTTTCCCGAAGTATGCAACACGACCTCAACTCAATTTCCGCTACTTTACTGCCTGCCGATGTAATTGCTGTCGCTGCTGCTGCTGCTGCTGCTACTGGCTAGTGGTGACACGCCACCTCAGAGGAGAATTGCACTGTCAACAGGACTGTGGATAGGAACAATCACCGCTGAAGAGGTGGCGGTGATCAGTGTTCTGAGAGCGGTCTGGACAGCATCTACGTCATCAGCGGACCAGCAGGCAGTACAAGGCCTGCTCCAGAGCGGCTGTGAAATACAGTGCGTCGAGAGGGACGAGAAGAACGTCGCTCTTCAAGCTTCGCTGCTTCACCCGCCTCCCTGCTGGAAGAAAAGAAAGGTGCAATCAAAATTGGCTGACTCGCCACTACTTCCGACGCTGGTGGTCGCGTTGGTCCTGTTGTTTGTCTTGGTCAGACACTCAAAGACAATGCAGCAACAGGTGAGCAAGAGCACTGTAAGCAAACGGCTACAGCGACACTGCCAAATTGGCCGTCGCTGACATTCTCCCAGCGACAATCTATGCAAATAGGCGCAGTGAAGGTGGCCAACGCCGAACCAACGAGAGCCAATCTGCCAAATTTGCCGCACTTCCGATATCTGTTTTTCTTCTCCACGCGTATCACTGCTGCTGCTGCACACTGCTAACCAGTGAGCAGGTATGCCTTAGTGAAAACACGAGACAATCGGTGTGTTGCATCTATAAATAGCCGCTCTCTTGCAATGGTTACCAATAGCTCACACACTGGCCGATACTGTTTCCCACTCAATGCTTCGACCTTTCTCCTCGGAGCACATTAGGCAAGTTTGACTGCACATTATATAACGCACAGAGGCACACTGCGCAGTGCAAACTTTTACTGGTAGATTACATTGCTTTCCCTGCTTCTAAATGCCTCGGTGTCCTTGAGTCGATTAGACGGGCTTCCCCGGTCGGGAGGACTGTTTCAGCGCCCAAGCAGGCAACCAGCCAGCGCAGCTAAAGACTGCCAGTTGCACTTCAGCATCTCACCTTATTTGCGCCCCTACATTACTCCTGATGTCGTTAATTAGTCAGTTGTACACCGGTGATTGAGTAATCAACTGTTTATATCCATTGTCGGCGGTTGTTGTTCTTGCTGAACAGCTTTACCAATTGCTGTTTAACGATTTTGTGAAATTGTTCTTTTCTGCGGTGTTCGAACAAAGAATTGATTGACTAGGTGGGCAAATCTGACAGCAGAGTCAGTTCCTGGTGATTGCGAATCTGAACTTTTGCCAAAAGGTATTGCAAAAGTAAATTAATGTTTCTCTTTAGTAAATTGCATTTGTCATTCAAATCATTTCAAAAATGCAATGTAAATTCCGCTCTCACGATCAAGTTTTAGCAGAATTTCAAATGGTACGTCTTCTGCGAATGGGCCAGTAAAGTTAACACATTTTTTTGTCGGCGCTTTGTTCATCAACAAACCTTGTTTTGGTACAACTTTTTATATTTTTTAGCGAGCCCCAAGTAAATTATATAATTTATATAAATTGAAAGCAACTCACTGATTTTAACTTGAAAATGTCCACTCTGTGATTAAACTGAAACGATCAACCCCTTAAGAAAACCTTTTCCTTTATTGCTGATTCTTGTCTAAAATATTTTGAAAGATGATGTCTCAGATGGTGAACAACAATGGCCCTGTCTCTTCGGTCATCACCGAAATGCCTGAATTGGAGCAGGTGTACTCCCTTATCAAAGGGATGTATCAGCAGAATGATCTCAAGGAATCCGCCTCAAAGTGGCTTGAAGCGCTGCAGAAATCTGTCTATGGCTGGCACATTGCTGATCAGTTACTGATTCAGGCGCGAGACTTTGAATCGAGTTACTTTGCCGCTCAGACGTTAAAGACGAAAATTCAGTACCATTTCGAAGAGCTTCCAGCAGACTCATATGATGACTTGAAAAATTCCATTATATCGCACTTGGCTAAATTTGACGAGAAGGTTATTCAAACCCAACTCGGACTTTGTGTTACCTTTATTTGTAAGTAATAAAAATATTTTTTGGGTATCAAATTAACCTTTTATTTTTTATACAGTTTTTCGAAATCCCAACTGGCTAAACCCATTAGAAGAATTGTCGGTGAAATTGTCAAAAAGTAAATTTCTTGAAATTCTCACTTGTATCGCGCAAGAATATGACGAAAATAGACCAGCAGTGAAGATGACAAAACCACGAAGGGATGAGATTGGAGTCTACTTGGCAAAGCACTTACCAAATGTTGCTGAGCTACTGATGTCCTTTCTCGAAGAGTCGTTAAAACTTGACCCTGTTCTTCAAGAGCAATTGATCATCAAGTTCTTTTGCTGCATCGACGCCTGGTTTGTCTTTGTCGGCCAAGAGCATGTCAAATCAATTGAGCCAATTCTTAGAACCGTTTTTTCCTACTTGAAAAATCCCGACTGCACTAATGAGGTGCATGAAAAGGCTTCTGACGCTCTGGTTAAAATGGTGATTCACTGCGAAGGGCACGCATTTGCAGATTTGCAGGTGGCTATCATGAACGAAATCCTTACCCTTGAACCAGCGTACGAAAACGCCCTACTTGCTGAAGACTTTGAGAAGCTAATGAACTTTGCGAGAATATTCTCTGAACAAGGCAACTCTGTTCTGGAGTACCTAATTCATGATCAGGTCGACGATCAGATTGTCAAATTAATTCTCAAGTGTACTGGCCATTTTGACTTTGATGTTGCTGCAACGACGTTCACTTTTTGGTACAACTTTTCCGAGGTTGTCTTCAAAAGGAGCAACTCCAAGTTTGCCCCTCACCTCAACTTGCTACTGACCACTCTTACTCGACACTGTCAACTAGAAAGTGACTCGGAGGAGATTGTCGATGAAAAGTCTGATCAGTACGATTACCGCTTTCAAATCAGTGAACTCGTTCGAGAGATCATTCCTTGCTGTGATTGGGTGCAATTTCTCAAGTCTATTGACATGGTGAACAACCTGAAGAGCTACACTCAATGGAATGATGTGGAGATGAACCTCTTCATGATCTACTGCATCGTATGTGATAAAAACTTTGTCTACCAAAATGAAAACAAAAACGACGTTCTACCTGAGATTGTCAACTTTGTGCTACAGTTTAGCAGCAAGTCACCGCCTCCTCACGTGCAAGTCCTTGCCACCTCCTGTGATCTGCTTGCCGAACTCAATGAGTGGGTCAATGAAAATTCTGCTTTTCTAAATCCCGTCATCACCTATCTGCTGTCGATCATCTCCACCAGTTTCCAGGTGGCTCCCAAGTTGGCAGCTCGCAGTTGTTTGGCACTAAAGGCAGTCATCAAAAGTCTGAAGGCTAACATTGAATTGGATGCCATCCGAACTCTGTTTGTCAACCTAGAGGGCGTCTACATCAAGATTGACGACGTTTCCGTCGACCTGAGCGTCTCCCTGATGGCCTGCCTGACGGCCATTGTCAGTAATGCCAACTTTTCAAAGTACGACGAACAGGAGTTCTTTGTTGAACGAATCATTAATTTGTGCCTGAAAAAGATCGGTGAATTGAAGGCAGTGGAGGGCAACCAGAAAAAGTGGGAGAAAGTCATTGACAACATTTACGCAATTTTCAAGGATTTTCAGCCAAATGAAAAGACCCTTAAGTCAGAGAAGATACACACCCTCTTGTTGACGCAAATCTGGCCTTTCCTCCAGCAATCAATTACGCACTTCTGCTCCATTGAATCGCAGGCTATTGAGCACTGTAGCCGGTGTGTTCGCCACATCGTACGGTCAATGAAGCCTTCCTACCTGCTGCATCCAATTGTGAATCACATTGTGCCGCTCTACCAGCAGTATCCGAACAACTCCCCCCTGCTGTACATTGGCTCAGTTCTGGTCTCGGAGTTTGGCCACGAAAATGATCCCAGTCTTTCAGGTGGTTTGATTCTCATGCTCAATGTAAGTTAATGTGAGGGTTTTTTCTGTTTATTTTTTTACTAACCCAAAGTTGCTTTTATCAGGCATTCTCAATGTCAACGTTCAACTTTTTAAATCAAAGTAATCTTAATTTGTACCCGTATACGATTGCGGATTTTTTCAATCTCGCAACTCGGATGCTGACAAAGTTGACGGAGAACTTTGTCTCAAACACTGAGACGCTGAACAACATTCTCAACTTGGCCATCATGTCGGTGTATCTTGATCAGAAGGAAGCCTACGATTCGGTGATTCGATTTATCATTGAGTTTATCAGAACTTCTCACCCGATGGTAGACGAGTACCTACGGGGAGACTTTGGTCGGCGACTGTTCTTTGCTCTTGTGGACTCTATCATGTTCAAACTTCCAAGTTATTTTGTTCCCGAAATGGTCGACGCTCTTTGGGAATTTAAAGTCAATGAAAAAGAAGTGAGTATTACCAGCGATCATAGAGAGACCATTGCACTTACTAATTTATATACTTTTTGGTGAAGCTTTTCAACCAAAACCTTCAGCTGACTGTTGAACAGCTCCTTATCAAGGCGCAAAGCGGTTCTTATAATGTTTCAAGCGATAGCTTGAAGCATTTCTATGATTCTGTGTCAGGGTAAGCAAACTACAGCCGCTCTACTGAAACATTCAAATGACACGATTGTTTTTCTCTTTTTCGTAGTGCCTCAAATCCCAAACGATTGGTATCTGAAGTTCGACACTTGCAAAGACTTTTCAGCTAAGCATCTCTACTACCTCCATCTCTTCCGTCCATCTTTTCGGCATCTTTACGTTGCTTTCATAATCGCCTGAGCTTGACATAGTACATAACCATATTAATGTATTTATGATAGGAAAAATTGCTTATTATTTTGTGGTTTGTGCATCAGTAAGTTGAACCATCTGTCTTTGTGCTTGTGTAACTACTGAATATAATAATTAATGTATTTTTTGCTTTCTTTTGTCCTGAAAAACAAGAATAAGCAAATGAGTTCTGTGGTGGTATTGTTCTATTGAAGTGTGTTTTAGAACATATCGAACCCTTGCCCCTGCATATAAGCACTCAAAGGTTCGTCATTTGTGTTCTAGTTACTACAGATGTCGCCTACTCCTCAATCCTGCTGGATGAAATGCAAAGTCGGATCGGCGGATTGAAGTTGGCGGGAAAATCGGTGACTCTCTCTCCCGTTCTCCTTCTCTGCCTTTTGCCTGTTTCTCTCCTCCCTTTGCACCGAGTGTGTGTGCGGACGAGTGTGGCACATTGGCCTCTGAGCGTGCCGCTGCCATGCTCCGGCGGCCGGCTCAGTGGCAGCAAGTCGTAGTCGGTCGTCATCGTCGCAATGTGAGCAATGCAAGCGACTGGAGATGGTTCGGATTCTTGGCGAGTCTGCAGAGTGACGCAGCCGATCGCTACTACCCAGACAGTCAGACAGCTGCAGCCGCACTGCTTCCATCGGCACACACACTCTCTCCTCTCTCCTCTCGATGGCCGCATCCACTACTTCGTATCTAACTCGTTGCCAGTAAACTGTCTCCATCTCTCTTTCAATTTCTCTCTTGCGCATCCCTTCATTGACTTTGGATCTCGCAGTTGTTGGACCGCGTGCGCGCGCGACCGCGTCTAATTCACCGCCTCGTGTGCGCCCAGCAGCAGCAGCAGCACACTGCCTGACAGCTGTGTTCGTATCCTCGTCGAACAGTTGTCTCTGAATTGAATCTGTCTGCAGGGACGGACAGCAGTTAGTCTGTCACCGGCGCACGAGTATTCTCCTCGACATATGGCGCACGTATTGTGATTGGGGAGAGAGAGTGCCATTGCCGCCACGAGTCGACTCCTCTTTCATTCAAACATTGCGGCGCGCTGCAGCAGCGTACCTCCACTACTACTGGAGCTGGGCCTCTGCTTCACCACTCTTCATTCATTCGTTCGTTCGTTCGTTCGTTCCGGCCGCCGATGCTGTCAACAAGAGCCAGGAGGGGATAAAAGGCAACGGTCATATGGACTGCAACGGACGTCAGCTGCCATCATCATCGCCCGCCTTCGCCTGAGCCACCCTCTCGGGCCCAGCAGTAAACAGTGCCCAGAGCAGCCCCAGGAAGACACCTCCTCCTCCTCTCTGTGGCCAGACACTGCTTCCTCCGACTCGATTCAGCAGTGTTTACCAAGCGGCACCTCACTCTTCATTCTTTGCATGTTTGGCATTCTTGCCGCATAACTCCACCATTTGCGCGTCTTCCTTCACCTCTCTCCTCTTTCTCTCCTCTCTTCTCTCTTCTCTCTTCTACCGTCTCTGTCACCCTCTGCCACTCTCACCCTCTCGCTCTCTTCGACTCTAATTAACTGGTGCCCCTGGTGATCGAAGTTGTCTCAATTAGCCGCCAACCAACTAATTGCCCCTCTACCGCCGTTGCCACGTTGCCCCAGCCAAGAGCTATTTGTTGCATTCGCCGGTTCCACATTTTTTCTTGACTCACCCTAGAATATTCATCGGACAACCTGTGTGCTGTGCGTGCACTTTTTCTCAACCTCATTTCAAGGTAAGACACTGTCACCTTTTTGTTGAGTGCATGTAATAGCTCTCATTGCCGCCACCAGTACATCGACTGTCTTCAAGGTGAAAGTGTCACCAGACAGTAGACTCAGTTAGAACTAGTTTCTCACTGCGTGGACCCTTCTTTCTGCCCTCTTTCTGCTCTCTTTGCACAATTTAACTTTAGTTTGTGTCTCTTAATTGTCAATTAACCTGGCGCACACAAAAACACACACACAAACACACATATCGATGGAGTGGGCATAATCGACAGTGCTCATTGAGCTGTACGCCTGCTGCTGTGCACTCAGTAGTAAGCCATAGTTTGCCGCCCTTCTCTCTCTCTCTGCTGCAATCATTGTCCCAAATCGTATTGCAACTCGCCGGTGTAAGCTTCTGCTGACTGGAGCGGGTATCGAATCAGACCTGTTTTTCTCTATCCTTCTGCACTTCTCTCTTCCCTCTATCTTTCTCATTACCAGGCCTCGTAATTGCTTTCTTGCGGCACGCTCTCGGGTCCTAATTCCTGGTGGCGGCGAGTGAATTATCAACTTGAACAAAGTAAGGGGACACACGCACGGTGTCGGTGCTGCTGCTGCTGCCACCGGTGCTGGTGTTGTGTCAACAAGAATTGTGTGCCGTGAGTGAGCCTATTCGCTCGATTCCATTGGCATGACACGGGCACGGACCGGAACAGGAGCAGGAGTAGAGAAAAATAGAAAGCGAGCAAGTGAACAGTGGTCTGCGAGTGAGTGTGTGTGTGTGTGTGTTTGTGCAGTGTTGAACTCGATTCCAATCGGAGAAGGCGCGCTCACCGATCATTAGCAGTACCGGCCATAATAGACTAGTTCACCAGCAATGCCATGGAGATGAATTGGACTGAGTCGCAGCTCTCGCGCTCCCTCTCTCACTCTCTCCTTCATTCAGTAAGCACCCATTTTCTCAACTGTCATAACTCTGAACGGTTGTTTCTCGCTCGCTCACTCACTCACTCACTCTGTGCTTCACTTTTAAATCGTTCGATTACACACTGTCCCGCAGCTGGGCTTTGTCAGCTTTCTTCTTTGCTGTATGTGCACCACCAAAATTACCTTCTCTCTCTCTCTCTCTCTCTCTCTCTCTCTCTCTCGCACACACAAACACACCGAAGACAGAGAAATGCTCCAGTAGCCGGTGCACTGCTGCAAAGCTATTGCAGTCTCTGAAAAGTGTACGCTGTCTTTTGAAGGCAACCAGTCTATCTATTTCTGCTGAGCACTAATACACACACACATACACTCAGGTTATTAGGCTCAATTGCAGGCGTCTTAATCTGGTTCAGCTCTTTGTTCCGCAGTACACGTACAGCCACTGAGGACTCTCTCTCTCCATTTCTCGTTGCTCCTTCCACCGGTGATCCACCATTGCCCAGCGGCAGGAGTGTGGCACACACACACTCACACACCAACCTTATCTTGCATCCTGCTGGCACCTACACCGTTGCCTGCTTTAGCAACAGCGCTGCTGTTGTCGAGCTGTACACCGTACACACCGACAGTGCTGCTGCCTGTGTACCTGTGTGTGGTATGGTTGGGCACTGATCAATTGACAGCAGCATCGACGGGCACCATGTCCACCACCACCACCACCACCATCACTAGCATCGGCTGTCGTCGTTGGCAAGCTAGCCCTAATGATTAACCTGTTGATAGCTTTTTGCACACTCTGCACATCGCTCACATTTTTGCAGCATACTCACACATAAACACTTCACATGGTCTCATTTTGTAATGCACATACCTCTCTGGTTGCCATTTCCGCTGTAAGTGCTATCGCCAAAATTTGTTTAATCAACTGCTTTTAAAATATCTAATTGACTGTGCGCATTCATTTTTACTTGTTGTTGTTATTGTTGATGGCAATTCCATCATTTGCCTTGTGATTTTTACATTTCAACCCAAACGCTTCAGCTTCAGCTTCTTCAACTCTGAAGCTCGGTTTTGCTTTGACGCTAGTTGGCTGTCGCGCACTGTCTATAATTAGCATCGAGCACAGACACAGAAAGAGACAGAGAAAAGACTGGAAAAGAAGCCGCCGCACAATTTGGTGGCAGGACCGTTGTTTGAGTCTCCCCACGGTGCAGCACCTGCTCCAAGTGTGTGGTGCTCTCGATTGGCAACCGATAGGCCGCAGAGGAGTTAATGACGAGTGGCCACGGTGCAACGGTGTCCACTGACTCTTGTTCTCCTCTGTCGCTGACACTCTGTCTTACCGATGTGACAGCGTCCGGTCGTTTGCGGGCAAATCCGATACGTGAGCAGAAGCAAACACCGTCTCTGCCGAATGTCGCTTTTTGATTTGGTTGTCACGCTTCAAAGTGGGGAGGGAGGGGGCGCAATTCAGTCGCCTTATCCCGTCGTGACATCAAGTCATTTTTTAATTGTTTTTCTATTTCTTTCTCTTTCCTTTTCCTTCACCAATTGACAAT